GAATTTTTTAATATTTATTTTTTAGTATTTGGCGGACACAACATCTTTGTTTGTATGTGGTGCTGAGGATCGAACCCGGGCCGCACACATGCCAGGCGAGCGCCCTACCGCTTGAGCCACATCCCGAGCCCAGTCTTTCCTTCTTTCCAACAGTTTTGTTTTTGGATGCTGGGAATTGGGCTTGGAGTCTTGTGAAGCTGTTCTATCTGAGCTACATCCCAGACCCTCTCCAACACTGTTTACTGAACCCTCCCCTTCCCTGTGAAGACAGACATAATCCCTGCTTCCAAGGTCCTGACATTTTAATGGGGAGGAGAGAGATGAATAGCAAACAGGTAAACAAATAAATACAGAACATGTCCAAAGGTGAAAATAAATAAGTCAGAAGAAGGAGATATAGGGTCTACTGGGAGTGTGGGGAAGATTTTAGATAAAATGTCCAGGACCTACAGAGATGGCATGTCAATAGCTATGCTAAAACCTGGAAAGAACATTCCAGAATGGAAACTTTGAGGGCCCCGCAGTCAGAACAAGTTGGCTGTGCTTGAGGGACATAAAACAGGAGGAGCAGCTGTGAATGGAGCAAGAGGAACCAAGGGAGACTGAGAGGGAGAGCTGATTTGAGGTGCAGGCTCAGAGACCCTTTTGATGAGTTTGAATATTATTCCAAGTGGAACAGGAAACCATTGGAGGGGTTTAGCAGGGGACTGATGAGACTTTCTTTACATTGTGTAAACTTTAGTTGGCAACCCATTTGTACCACTCTTAGGTATTTATCCAAGAGAAACGAGACCATATGTCCATGCAAAGACTTCTACACACATGCTCATGTGGCTTTATTCACAGTGGCCAAACCGAGAAAAACAATCTCTGTGTCCCTCCATAGGATAATGGAGAAACAGGCGATGGTATATCTATACAGTGGGTGGTCAGCAACAAAAGGGTACACAGCACACGGGTGACCCTCACAGGCATGCGTGCTAAAGACACTACCCCTCAGAGCCCCCCCAAAACAGTATATTTCCATTTCTGTCAATGCATTCTATATAATGGCTGGGGGTTAGCTCAGTGGTAGAGCACTTGCTTAACATGTGAGAGGTTCAGGGCCTCTCACATGTAAATCAATCCTCAGCACCAAATAAATAAAATAAAAAATGCAAAGTAATTTACAATAACAGAAAGCAAGTGGGGGAAGGATCAACTGCAAGGGAGTAGGAAGGAGTGATAGAAAGTTCTATATCTTTATTGAGGTGGCCGTTACATGGTGGTATACAACTGTTAAAACTCACTAAACTAGCTGGGCATGGTGGCACATGCCTGTAATCCCAGTAGCTTGGGAGGCTGAGACAGGAGGATTGCGCATTCAAAGCCAGCCTCAGGAGCTTCGAGCAACTCAGTGAGACCCTGTCTCTAAATAAAATACAAGGGCTGGGGAAGTGGCTCAAGCGGTAGCGCGCTCGCCTGCTATGCGTGCGGCCCGGGTTCGATCCTCCGCACCACATACAAACAAAGATGTTGTGTCCGCCGAAAACTAAAAAATAAATATTAAAAAAATAATAATAAAAATAAAATACAAAATAGGGCTGGGGATGTGGCTCAGTGGTCGAGTGACCCTGAGTTCAATCCCTGGTACCAAAACAAGACAAAACAACTCACTGAACTAGTGTACTTAGTATGGCTACAATTTATTGGGTGTAAATTATAATTATTAAAGCAGATTTTAAAAAGATAACTGACTTCTGAGTGGAAGGGTCCATTTTGGAAGTTAATGCAGTAATCCAAATAAGAGAACGGTTGAAAGGGGTAAGGGGAGTCAGGCCATGCTTTGTGGGTGGGAGGACTGGACAGCGGTGGGAAGTCAGACAGGGGAAGAATTGGAGTTCAGTCCAGGTATGCACCTGGTCAATATGTGAACCCTTCAGCAATATGACAGAGACTGAGGGTTCAGCAGCTTTGGAAGGAAATTTTGCCTCCAGTTGTCCAAGGAAGCGATTTATCATCTTTTTGTTGGGTGGTGGTGGGGTGACAGGGGTGAAACCTAAGACTTTGTACATGCTAGGCAAGTGCTTTTACTGGGCTAAATCCCTAGCCCTTGCATAATCTCTTGAGATCCCTTCTGACCCTGTAATTCTTTGTTTATAAGCCCTCCCGTGCCAGGCAAACATGTCATGTAGGAAAAATCCTTAGCATCTTGTCTTACGGATGTGAAAACTGGAGCTTAAATAGATTCTCCTCCAGGGGGAAGCAGGTTAAGCCAAATTTGGACTTGGGTCCTCTTTCTTTCTTTCTTTCTTTCTTTCTTTCTTTCTTTCTTTCTTTCTTTCTTGTTATACATGGACATGATATCTTTGTTTGTTTTTATGTGGTGCTGAGGATTGAACCCAGTGCCTCACATGTGCGAGACAAGTGCTCTGCCACTGAGCCACATCCCCAGCCCTCTGGTCTTCTTACTATCATATTATTTAACTTTTCCTGAGAGCTCATCTATCCTACCCTTAGCTTCTTCCACTGCCCTGCCCTCCTGGGGAGTTTCTTCCATTAAACTATGAGCTTTCTAAGGACAGGATCTATGGTTTGCTTTGTTCCAAGTCATTTGGCAAATGTATATTAAGTACCTACTATGTGCCACATACATACTAGAAGTAGATATATGGTAAGCGTGTTTTCTCCCCTCACCTGTGTGTAGTCTTTGTGGATAGAGACATTTATCAAACAGTCTCACCGCTAAATGTTAATTGCAGTGATCAGAAGGGCCCACATAACAGGTACATATAAGATGTTGGGGCTGGGGATGTGGCTCAAGCGGTAGCGTGCTTGCCTGGCATGCATGCGACCTGGGTTCGATCCTCAGCACCACATACAAACAAAGATGTTGTGTCCGCCGATAACTACAATATAAATATTAAAATTCTCTCTCTCTCTCTCTCTCTCTTTAAAAAAAAAAATAAATAAAGCCCTA